CTAAATTGTAAGGGATCCAAAGTTCGGGGACTAAAATGTAAATACTTAAAAGTTATGCAGAACCTCACGATTAAGATTTGAGAGTGCTCGGAGTCAATTGGATAAAGGAAGACGTCAATGAAATCAAATTTAGTCAAAAGATGATCACAAATCAATTTCCAACCGAAAAGTTATGCTCCAATATTTTAGTCTCATATTGAGATCTATTTTTGGTATAGAAAGTGATCGAATTGGAGAATGATGTCTGAATCAAAGTTGTAGCCAGATGAGTTAGCTTTCCAATGCATTTTGAATTGCCTCAATCGGATATCGGAATACAAAATTATGATAAAAATATTGAAAGAAGGTGCAGTTGCCTGTTTAAAACAATAAATTCAATTACATAATCCGTTAAAACAACAAATTCCGTTAATTTTTCCGTTAAAAACAAGAAATTACGTTACATAACCACTTTTAATATATAGAAGATAATATTATACTTAAATTTAAAATTTTTCTTTTTTTTTAAATGCACATTCTAAAAAATTTACTATTATGAAATATATTTTTCTCCAAAAATTTCTCCGAAAATTAATTATAATGGTGTAATTCCCACATTGCCCCACGGGTGCATGCACCTTTCTCTCCCATCAGCCTATATATACCCCCAGCTCTTCTGTCTTTCTCTCTCCATAAATTCAGACTTCTTCTTTCTCCCTCTACATTTCCCCCCTTTCTCTAGACTTGTTTTCAAGAAAATCCAAAATTTTGGAAAATACCATTTGATATATACACAAAAAAATGCAACAACCAAATTTTAGTGAGCTACCGCCGGTGAATTTTTCGGTGGAGCCATCACCGGTATATAGCCGGAGTTCGAGTTTTAGTAGTCTTATGTCGTGTAGTCTTATGTCGTGTTTGACGGAAACATGGGGTGACTTGCCTTTGAAAGTTGATGATTCTGAGGATATGGTTATATATGGACTGTTGCGCGACGCCGTTAGCGTTGGATGGACACCCTTTAACGACGTTAAAGTGGAGACGAGGATTGAAATCGAACCCGAGATGAGTTTAGCAGCGGTGAAGACGGAATATGTGGCTCCTCCGCCAGTGACGGCGAAGCCAGGGGTGGCGGAATTGAAGGGGAGGCACTATAGGGGGGTGAGGCGACGGCCATGGGGAAAGTTTGCGGCTGAGATAAGGGACCCGGCTAAAAACGGCGCTAGAGTGTGGCTTGGGACATATGAAACAGCTGAAGAAGCGGGTTTGGCTTATGATAGAGCGGCTTATAGAATGCGTGGCTCGAAAGCTTTGTTGAATTTTCCTCACAAAGTTGGCTCGAATGAGCCAGACCCGGTAAGAGTGACGGCTAAGAGGAGGTCACCTGAGCCGGCAGCTTCATCTGCTTCGGAGAGTTGCTCACCTAAGCGGAGAAGGAAAGAAGCGGTGGCTGAGCAAGCTGAATTGGAGGTGGAGAGCCGATCAAATGGCTGTCAAGTTGGGTGGCAAATGACAAAATTGCCATTGGGTGGACAACTATTGGTGACCTAAATACGCAGGAGAGGTGAATAGATAAGGGGCTTGTTCGGTTTTTTCTGTATAAAAATGACATTTTGTACCACTCGCTTTATAGTCAATTACTCATCAATGAAATTTAAATCAAATGGTATGTAATGTGTGTACAAATCAAGCATCGTGGGTTAGGTTTGGTGGTTGAGGGAATGCAAGTTTTTCGACGGTACAAAGACAAGAAAAAGTAAACCACATTTAATTTGAGAGAAATAAAGTTTTTTTTTTCACGTGAAACATTCCACATTATTGAGATTAGAATAATTAAACACATTTAAAAAAAATTTTGATTAAATTTTCTGGGCAACTTATTGTTCCATGTGCTCAATGTTTCAAGTGGACTGAATTGGTGAATAATTGTCTTAGATCAAAACAAATTGGCCGAATTTCACTGTTGAAAAAGTAACAAAAGGGTAATGATGTTCAACATTATTGCTGTTACACATCCCTGTAAGTGACACTAAATGAGATAATACAAATTAAATGAGTCACATAATGGTACATTTAATTGAACATATCATTTAATGTCATTTAATATGATATTATAGTACTAGTAATATTAACTATTGTTGTTGGAATATACTACATGTACATAATGTACGGTGTTCACTCTCTCACATGCAGGGAGACACACTTTGGATATATTATATTTTATTCGAAATGGGTCCCCCTCCATGTGAGGGGATGAACACCACATCATGTACATACAGCATCACTCATTATTGCTTGAGACTATGCTACGAGTACATAATCATTTGTATAATACACTATATAATTGACATGTGGCGTGAATCTATCGATAGTCTATAATTTTTGACTTCTACACTTTACATTCACAGGCTGATTTCTTCCACATGGGCCTATATAATATATTATATACAATAATTAAGTACCTATAGATTTATCATATTGTTTGTAACAAAAAGCATTCCCTAAATACCTAGGATTTTGTGCAATAGAAATAACGTAGTTTGCTAATTCATTATTCATGTGTAGAATTTCCTGCCCTGGAATAGATAGAAATCATCTTCTTGCCATTGTTAATCCCACGATGCAAAGTTTAAAGCATGTTTGATAAATATTTATAAACAATTTAAAATAAAAGCGAACTGTAAATAAGTGAGTGTATTTTTCGAATAAAAATTGACGTTGGATATTTATTAATCATTACTAAAGATGAGCCAAAGATAGATTAAAATTTACAAATAACGTTGCCAAGAAAATACTAATCAACTTTCATCGACGGGAGAATACTCTGACTAACATCATTTATTAAGGATGCACACCGTTGACTATAGTGTTTTATTGCTCATTCATTGAACCTCAATCATATAACATTTTTATCGTTTAAACAACGATACTCACTGTTGCTTGTAAGATTGTTTTGACCATTAAACTCGTCTAATAAGTAATTATTTGCAAAAAGTACTACATTTCTTCAAAGTCTTAGATCAATTTATAGAATCGCATTGGATCGATACCAATTGGTTCTGATTTGGTCTAACTCGGTTATTTTTGTACTTTATAGAAAAAAGTGAAAAATATAAACAGTTACGGATAGCAAAGGGGTTGGAGCTACTATTACTATTGTCATCCCGTCGAGGATTTTCACATTCACGACCGGACAAAAATTAAAAAAAATTCTCATTCACCATCCTAACATAAAAATAAAAACAAACGGAGCATGTTCGAATAATTCGGGATGGGACAATATTTTCCGTCGCCCCGCCATTTACTATTTGGGGAACAAATTGCCATCCCTATAGAAAAACTTTTATGGTAGAGTCAAAAGTAAAATCAACAGCTGCTTTGAATGCGTGAGCAATGTGAAAGTGCACAAATCAAACGTATGGAAAGAATATTTTTTGAGACAAAGGTTCACACCTGAAAGTTAGAAAATTGATCAAATTTTCCACAATATCTCTTTTCTTTCCATTTTATACATAGCTGAAAGTTGACATTAATTTTATTGTGAGCACGTTAAAATGCAATAATTTAAATGTCAACTTGAGCTTTAAAGATTTTTGGAAGTGTATCAACTGATTTTGAATTTAGTTAGCTCCACTATCAAACTTTTTTGAAATTATAAGATCATGGAATTTCATTTTTAACCACACGTTTCATTAGACTCGTAATTTTTATACACTTTGACTGTACATTTCATCGGATTTGTCGATTTGTAATATAAAAACTTCGTCAAATATAGACTTAATTTCACACATTTTTTTTGTATTTTGATTTTATTTTCAATACAAAATCTGATTTGAGTTTTAAATCGATTCAGTTTTTTTTAGTCGAACCAATCGAGTCAATCAAATTCGTCTAAAGTTTTATTTCCTTTCAAACAATTATAAGAATTCTTTCTTTAAAGAAGAAAACTCGACCGCCAAGTGAAGCTTATGGCTTCCTAATCACGATGTCTTTCTCGTCTACCAAAATTATGAAATCTTGCATGAAATTTGGATGGCCATATATTGGGCAAAGCGAATTTATGCGTTTGATTGACAATATTTTTCATAATTTTCCACCCAAATTCTTAGCTTTATGCTGTTTGATTGACATTTTTTCTATGAAAATATTTTTCTACTTTTGATCACGTGATCTTATTTTCTTCAAAATCAAGAAAAATATTTTTTTAGAGGGAGTATGATTTTATTTTCCAAAAAATTCACTCTCTCTCTCTCCCTCTATCTCATCTACGCACTAATAAAAAATAAAAAAATATAATATTTCCTAAATTGAAAATTAAATCAATAGCACACATTTAATTAACAATTTTCATACAAATACGTTCTAGACAATTGAATTACTTAAAATTTATTTTTTTTTCGATATTCGCAATCAAACGCACCATCATATTCTTCTAGCTAACGATTGCTTTACTATTCTTCTTATTTTGATTTTTATATTACGAGTCAACCCTTCCCACGTACGTATTTGGAAGAATCACTAAATTAATAGCATTTTTCAAAAACTTGGAAATTTATCCAAAGAAAGTAGCAACATGAGGAGAAAAGGTGCACGCTATTAATGTCTACATGAAAATGACACCCATAATACAATACTAAAATGTTCCACCGCTTTACCGAATTCTAATTATTTTTTATAGTATAATAATCATTATTTCGACTGCGTTTGCAAATTACTGCGGAAAAGTCTATCTCCTCTAATTTTATGTGACAATACGATGTACAAAAGTCATGCCAAACGAACCCACGTGATCTGCAAAATTGCAAATGATGAGTTTGAGAGACATCTTATTTATCATATGGATATCTCTGGTCTTAACCTACAATGAAATTTATTTTTTTGTTTTGTTAGATAAATTATTATATTTGGACAAAAGAAATTTTGCAAATTAACAAGATGAGTTCTAATGGGTTGTCTTCAACTGAAATTCTAATGAATTTTAAAAGTTTTTTTAATTTTTTTTTTTATGGTGTTCTCACTTGATATTTTAATAGATTTTATCAACTAAAACCTAGGTGTCACCAATTGAGATTTTAATAAATTTCAATGAAATCTTTTAAAATTTAAGTATCTTTAATTACTCTTGGATTTAAAGATTTTATCAATAAACAAATTTCAAGAGATTTAGATGAATTTCAAGATTAAGCCCATGTTTGGTTTGGATTAAAATTCAATTAAAATCTCAAATCAAAGTCAACAATTAATTTTAATCACACATTTCACGAGATTCACAACTTTTCAACCACACATTTAATTAATTTTTATCAAAATCTACTAAAAATTTGATTTTAATCTCTACCAAACAGTGGATAAAAATACACATTATAAACTCTTTTAAACTTTCACAATTTTAAATAAGATTCTTATGAATTATATGGAAATGTATTTAAATTCACGAAATCCATTAAAACATATAACATTTTAGAATTCAATAAAATCTCAATTGAGAAGCCCCTTAAATTAATTGATTTTTCAAATTCTTTTGACATGGATGAAGCTCTAGGAAAGACAACCCGTGGCACAGTCCGACGTGAGCACGGATGCGACTCGTTTGTTTGAGTCACATTATTTTGGAAAAATGTATTTTGGAATAGTAGATTGGTAGAGAATGTGTGTTTGAAAAAGAATGAAAAGTTATTGATGTGATGAAAAATATTATTTTATTGAATAACGTGTGATTGAAAATGAGAATGAAAATTTTAATTTGGCTCAAATAGGGGTTTAAAGACACATAAATTACCAAATGATCGAGTTTTTTTAAACTCAAAACGAAATCTAGTAGATTAGTAAACCCTAAAAAAAGATCTGTTTGGGTCAAGTCGAGGATAAATTTTTTAGCAACACAATAATCAATATGAAAGGAATAAGTTTGCAAAGTATGAAAACGGGACCAAAGCTCACTATTGACCTTAATTTTCAAGCACGAAAACGGGACCAAAGCTCACTATTGACCTTAATTTTCAAGCACGCAGATAAATGTTGGACAATTTTAGTTCAAAGTATCATTGGTTGGTATGAATATCAATCATCTTTAAAAATACTGTTGGTGTCATGACCTTAGTTCAAGTATCTTAAGTGAGAGGTCATCTCACATATGATTGGTTTTCCTATTTTTAAGATGATTCATCGATCGATAATACTCGAATGTCATAAAAAACAGATCTAACTCCTGCGTGTGAATGCCCACAATTCCAATTACTGGAAAATAAAAGATGTACATTCATTGACCTCATCAATTGACTACTGAAAAGGAATGGAGTAAATGCTCCAATTGGGACATGTCCCTTTATTCCTATGTAATATGAGACCATTGACTAATGCCAACATATTACTTTTAGTAATTGTCAATTGAATAATTGATTTATCCTAAAGTCCGTCCACATTTTGTAGGTGAGTGTTAGGTCGATATGACACGCGACTTCCATTTCGTGTTAGAATTGATTATCTCTTCATATCTTCAGTTTTAAGTCTTATTCTATCTCGAATGACTAGTTGTTAAGTTATTGAATTGA